CATCAAGAAGTCTCAAAGTTGCACTGCTCTCAATAAGCAGTCAAATTCTGCATAAATTTTCCATTTTATTCCTTCAAAAATACTATAATACATCTTATTTAGGGGTGGTGTGTCTACGATCTATCCTAGCGACTCAGCATCCCACTCTGCACTTATTACTAAACCCATTCTGACTGCCAGAATATCCTGTTGAGGTTCTCTGGGACTTTGAGGATTGTAAGGCCAATGAGGACGTAGGCCTGACTGCCACAAACCCATCTTGACCAGAAATGGACTGAGCCGTCCGACACAAAGATGGCATGATGATCTCTTCCCAAGAGTGGGCTGCAATCATATCAACTGCCTGTATCTCCCAGCATAAGCTGGAGCAGCCTTTACCAATTGGCGGCCAAAAAAAATGTCAAGGAACTTCTACTGGTCATTCTATCCGGTACAGTGGGAGACTGCCTTGTTGGAGATGGTGCAGCAGCAGCCACTACTTGCTCTGTGCTCCAACCACTGGAAGGCTGAGCATATGCTTGGCCAATTGCTGAGGTCAACCGGAGGGACAACCAACGGCTCACAAGCTGAGACCAATGCTGATGAAGAAGCAACACTTACTGGAGCAGCTTTATCAGGGACAGGAACAGGGACCAAGTCACAAAAATGATGCTGCACAAGGTCCAGCGTCTCAGAAGTTGCCAAGAAACACCGGCCAAAAAGTGAGGCCTCCAAGGAGGCAACAGAGACAAGTATGGACATTGACAATAATATTGCAGTTACAACAATGTTGATGCCCCCCCCCCCATCCAGCAGTAAGTTTTTATTAGACTCATCAATATCTATCTAATACAGCATTCCTAGTACCCAAACAAAAGTCTCCTCCATCACCGTCATTTCTCACTACTGTTTCCAAGTCCAGAAACAAGCGGTACAATATTGATTTTATACAGGTTAATGCATCCTTAGAAAACCTGAAAGTTTTTTTTCCCTTTCAGAGTCTTACACTGTCTCCTATCAAAACAGGCCTCATCCAATCATCAGGAAAAACCATTTTGCTATATAGCCAAGCATGTTTCTATGGTTTCTATGACAACTATAGCATCACTATAGTAATCCAGTTTTTTCTATAATAAATATCATAACTGCTATGGTAGCTATAATGGCTTGCTTCTATCTTTGGGAATTTCATTCTGATTGTGTTGAAAACACCATTATTACTCACTAAATGGTTTGGCATATGTGTTAGCCTGCTTATTTATGTAATGGAAGTCTATTACATATGTCCCAAATATTGTCTATATATTCCAGGCATTGCTATGATAGATGCTATATATGCTATAATAGCTTGTTAATTTCTATGAGACATTTTTCTGGTGCTAATGAGAATGCTCCTATTATTCATACCATGGTTTGGTATGTAGGTAAATTAGCGTAATTGTTTTATCAAAAAAATCTATCACAAATATCCAAAAAATTCAATTGTACAGGTACTAAAGAAGACTATTGATATTGCATCAAAGTTGAATTTAAGCGGAGTTTGAATATGTGGCACAAAGAAATTTCCAGCAGTTGACTTGAACACTATAATTGAGTGTGTGAAAATGGACAGTGACACCGTTTATTTTCACACGCTTCTCAGGATTAGATTAGATTTGAGTGCCACATTTTTTTCAGAGTCGACTCTTGATACATACGTGGCACTAGTGTGATGTTACATGTCACATCACAATGTCACACCATTGCGCTTCAAAGTACTGCACATCCTTCTATCCTTTCAAGTTGCAATAACATTGAGCTAATATGCTGTTAGCTCTAGGTATTATTTTTTCATAATAATTATTATATAAGGTACTGAAATTATCTCTACTCTATTCACAGTGGCCACTGGCACCAGTGCCATATCAATACCCAACATATCCCATCACTTCACCATCAGTTGGTAGTAGTAGCACACATTATTGCTTCAATTATCACTAAGGTATGTTACAACTACTCCAAAGTGCATTTGACCACCTTATCTTTTTCTGAATAGGTGTGAATAGGTTAAAAAGCCAAAGTATGTTCCTCCATTTACTATATCTACAGTATACCTATACTTATAATCACTTACCAGATGCTTGCACTATCCATCAAGGCTTGACAAACTACAAAGAAAACTTATCAAGTCATTCATGAAATTCTGTGAGTATTGTCAAAGTGTATTTATACATTAATATTGAATGTCATCCATAGTGAATAGTATGAGTATCTTAAGACAAAATAGGAAATTAAGAGGATTTTGTAGTTTGTGGGGGTTCACTTCATTATAGTAGTTTACTCTATGCATGTCATACAACAATATTAGGGATAAATTCTGACAGTTTGCATATTCTATAGTGAAAGTAAATTTAGTAAAAACAAGAATCCAGAATTATGATATCTTTTATACTCTATGAAAGCAGCCATAGTAGAAGCAACCATGTACGTCACAAATATGCTACTATAGCAAGTATAGCAAATGACTCAAAATAGTGCTGCTATATAGAGCTATATAATAGGGACTTGTCTAGGCGTACTATAGCTACTATTTTACCTATATAGTACTATGGTGGCTATAATAGCTATAAAAGGCAACTAGGTTTTTCCTGATGCACAATTGACACCATCACATGGCAAAAAGTGTTACACATTAAGACAAACCTTAGAAATGCTATCTTCTGATTTAAATCAAGTAATTCATATTTTTGTTTGCAAGTAAGGCTGAATGCAGTATATATAATCATATAGCTGCAAGCAAAATTTTGAAAAACAGTGCTGTGTAAGAAAAGGTAGGTTTAGATGACCAACAATTTATGTTGATGATCTGCCTTGTTGCTGACTGTCACAGGCCAAGTCACATCATGTGATGGCAGCCTACCTTAACATATATTTAGCTATCTTATCTAAGGACTTCTCATTTACCAGTGTTGGTCTCCACCTCCTTGACACTATGGAGCTCAACCCCAATTTCTCTCTAGGCCCTACTTCCCCTCAAGGGTTCAGTTTTATTGAGCAGATAAAGCAGGCAGACCCAAACTCCCCCAAATTTGATGAAAATAACCATGGCCTGTGCTGGGGGCACCACCAATTTACGTCAGGGTCTATGATATGCTGAACAGTACTAACATCTTGGGAAGTCATAGGTACCTGCAAGGTAGCAAACCGCTTGATTGAAGCTGCAATCAAGACACATATGGACACATCTGCTTTCAAGATAAAATTACTCATACTGCTTTCCTTACAGACACCTACCTACAGAATGCCATTGGATGCATTTGGGAAGTCTGGAGAGCTGCTGGGGGGGTAAGTACTTCCATCTATCTACTGTAGAAATTATATTACATAAGCAAACTTCGGAGCTTTGCCCGAAGATTTACTCTGTGATTATAACCGGCTTTTTGTGGCCACCATTGTTCTTTCACATGATATTTACATATGTTTGTTATATAAGAAGCATGTATTTACGTTGTTACAGCATTCATTTGCCAAAGGAATCCTTCTCCCGCGCCTGTTCCCACACCCTGAGGGACCAAATATCCAACATCTACTAACTTGACTATTGTGTGACTAAGTACAACTACAACACTGACTATTAATGACTAGGGCTTGACTACAGCTTGACTATGCCAGACAGTAAATTTGGCTAAACTGGACTACAGCCTGACTATGTTCAACTGCAAGTGCAACTAAACCAGACTACAGCTTGACTACAGTTAGACTATGCCAGACTGTGGGCTTGACTAAATCAGACTACAATTAAGCTACATTGATTGGTGAGACTTGACTATAGTAGACTAGATTGGACTATTCTGACATATTTTAGTCCTCAAAATACATGATTCTTGCAGATCAGACTAATCCCAGACTATATATGACTACAGGCAACTATTCCTGACTAATGTTTTTTACTGAGCTTGAGGCCTTATGAGGAGTCTCAACATAAATGGTGAAGCACAACAAAGTGTTGGACTAGGAGAGATGCAGCCTAGGGGCAACACAGGTATTATATTCATTAGCTGAATGAACCTCTCTTCTAATCAAGAGACTAGAGGGCTGGGAAGCATTAGGGGAGAATATAAGCTTTAAGAAGTAATAAGCATGGCTGATGGGAAGGACTACAGTGTACTATGACTCCTTTTCACACTTTCAATAAAACTTCATCAGATTTGATTGTGTTCTCTTGCTAGTATAGGAGGACACTCTTTGGTATATGGCCTATGTATCTACAAAGTTAGAATGAAATCCAAAGTGACACCGAAGGTGGAGATACAAATCATTGTGGAATTTCATAAGATAACACTGAGAAGCAACTCTCGGATGAACTTTGTAGCTACAAATGATGCAGCTTTACTACAAGAATGGAGTATGCCTGTAATCAACAGAATTTCTGCACAAAACATCTCTATGAACAGAAATAATCTTTGCAAAAATGAGGGCTGCAGATAAAGCTCATTGTGAAATGTTGATTTGTTTGCACTGCTGCGTGACAAAGAGTGGTAGGGCGCATCTGATCCGATGACGCATTGTAAACCCTTCTTGTACACTTCATTGTTACTCACACATGTCATGTCACTATCACACTTTGTCATGGTGTGAAATTGAACGGTTTTGTGTAATCACTCACCCCACACCGCCATTGTACAGCAAGATCATTCAAAGGCACAGTGATAAGTATTTTGTGTACATATACATGACTTGTAGGTATATTATGAGGTAGCTGTCTAATTTAAATTTTGAAAAATGTGCTATATCGTGCACGAGGCGGGTGTCCCAATCTGGTGTGAAAAGGAACGGTAGTGCAACATGAGTGCGAGGTGATAAGCGAAAAAGGGTGGTAATACAGTTTCGTTTCGGTAGGTGGCCTCGGTGAACATGGTTGGAGATCAGAAAGCAGAATGGGATCGAGCGCAGCGGCCCACCGTTTATAAGTTACGAACAACGTGACAGCTGCCTGGGCGTTACACAGTCGTGACCAGCGCGTGCGCCATGCCTTTCTCTTTATTGTCGTGTACCAGATACGATCCATATCTGCAGTCTCTCAAATGGAACAATGATAATGCCGGAAATCCATCCCCATATCTCTTACTTTCATACCACTCAGACCGTCTTGCAGATGCTGCACGCATCCATGGCTGGGGCGACGTACAACCCCTCACCCCGCTTTATCTAAAGTCCGTCTGCGATAAAGCTGTCCAGGAATACGGCGATAAATCACCACCGTTCGCCCTCAAGGTAGAGCCTTTTCTGCTCTTTTTTGTTCCACTTTCATCGCTTTCTCACTATCGTCAAGGTCCGTCTCGTCCTCACGCAGACAGGCGATCTATCCGCAGCAGTTGCCCCCATTGCTCCCCTTTCATCAGATCCAACGGCCCCCACTTTCTTCAACCCCCTCACTGATGCCCCGACGCTCTTCGTCCCCGTCTTTCACATTCAACTCGACTCTCAGTCCACGCCAAGCTCTGTCTTTACATCCACTAAAACCACCACCAGAAAAGTATACGACGATGCTCGCTCCAGAGCCGGAGTATCGTCGCCCTCCATCACCCGCCACACTCAACATTATCCTCCAGACGATGTTCTCCTGTTCAATTCGCAAAACGATGTGACAGAAGCATCTATATATAACGTCGCTTTCTATCGTTCTTCGCAGTGGGTGACGCCGCCTATGTCCACCGGCTGTCTTCCAGGTGTCTTGCGACGCTGGCTGCTTGAACAAGGCCGGATCAGCGAGGCACAGGAACATGAATTATCTAGAGATGGTGTTAAGCAAGACGAATGGGTTTTACTTTTCAATGGAGTGCAGGGCTGTCGCTTAGGGCGCGTTACAATTTTTGTCTCTTAGCAAGATGACTTTCGCCTGGTGGCTTACTTGTGATATATTACTTTTTGTATATTTAGTAAACCTACAAGGAGTGCTCCAACTCCACAGCCTTCTTAATATCCATCGTGATATCTCCACCTATGGTTTGTTCGTCAAATAGCCCCCCATCCATCTCACCCACTAAATAATCCAGCACGAAACTCTCCTGTATTAGACGATCCATTCTAGACAGATGACGTTCAGTGTACGGAATCAATATATCAACCATGTCTTTCAAAGCAGTCGTGCCTGTTCCCGTTGGTAAACCATCGTGACGATCAGTCCCTCGGTCGAACTTCATGAATGCCTTTTCGCCAGTTTCGTTAGCAAGCGCATGGATGAAATCGCCCACCGAACGCAGCTTCAAAATTGCATTCAGGACTTCCTGCGCCACTACACTCGTCTTGGCGTTCGCGTTCCAAGTACGAACATGTCGAATTAACCGCGCAAGTTCGGAGTCAGATATAGTTCGAATAATTTCGTCTACCGTTGGATGGCCTGTCACCGACTGGTTTACTTCTTGGGTCTGTGAAGAAGATTGTATTACTCTAAATAGAACAAGAAGCCTCCCTGGCTGCTCCATCGCAAGAGCCAGTTGGATAGCCCTGCGGTAATCACGAACAGCCAGATAATTCATGAAGTTTTGTTCTCTAAATGATTATTTATGACTGGTTAAACGACATCTGTTAACTAAAATACCACTTACTTCAATACCAGTTCTGTTCGTTCTGCTTCTTTTTCTAGTTCTTGTGTCTCTGTGCAGTCCTCCCAGAACGTGACAACCGAGTCCGCAGCACCAGAAACAATTATTCGTTCATCAGCACTAATAGCCAATGCCCAAACCTAAAATAAAACTTTAGTGAGATTCACCGTTCACATAATCTGTAACAGTTGCGTACCTTATCTTCGTGATTATCCATAGTTGCGACATCTTGTTCATCCCGAATGTTCCACAATTTAACCAGTCCATCTGATGCAGTGCTCACCAGTTGCATTCCCGCATTGATGAAATCCACTCGAAGAACTGAGTTCGTGTGACCCTCGAAAGTTTTAAGACACGAAAAGTTCTCCAAATCCCATAACTTCACAGTCTTATCCCCACTTCCAGTTGCCAAAACCCGCTCCGTCTTCCCAAACCTCACATTCCATACACCTCGCTTGTGACCCTTGAATGTACCAAGAAGTTTAATTTCCCCACGCGGAGAAGTTTTTCCATTGCTCAAATACTCTACCTCGTAAAGCTTAGCAGTGCGATCCTGGGATCCAGAGGCAAGTAATTTGTCATTTGGAGAGACGTCCAGTGAATTGATGTCTTTCTCGTGGGCCTTGTATGTCGCAAGACTCATACATTTTATCATGTCATCTGCGGCAGAATTTATGTCATGTGTAATAGACACAACTGATAGATCCCACATCTTGATTGTGCGATCCTGGCTCCCTGTAAACATAAACCGCAGGGTAGACTCCCCGCCTTCGCTCCGCGACATGGCAACAGCTCCTACACTTTCGGTATGGCCCTCGCAAAGCGCTAAGCACCTCCATTGGCCGTCCTTGTCGCTTGGATTTTCTTGACCGGACCATGGGACCGCCCATATTCTTGCTGAGCGGTCTTTACTTCCACTGACAAGAACACGCCCTCCAGCACCCCGATCAAGACACAGTACACTCTCTGAGTGCCCTGAAATCAAACGGGCGTCTAATCCAGAGGTCGAGTAAACACGAATAAGGGATGAATTTGTGGCAAAGGCGATATGAGTGTCTACCGGTGTGGATTCCACTGAAGGTGTTGGAGTAAGGAAGGCAGCATCAACAATCTCGTCATTGAAGCCTACGAATTGACGGACAAGACGACGAGATATTAGCGAATGGAAAAGTATATTTTGATCTGCGTGAACAGAAACAATGGTTGATGTTGCAGGCACGTAGCTGAGGAAGACAAATAAGCATGCAGGAACAGAAAAAGACATAAGAATTTACAATGCGTCAACTATTTGCCTTTGCTCCTCTTGGTCTTCCGTTTGGCGGTCTCCTTTATCGAGAGAAAAAAGTAGGTTTCCGTTTTTTCCGTCCCAGACACTAACAACTCCTTTCTCTCCCGCCGTATACAGTCGTAGTTGACTCGTATTTGGGTCGTGCCCCACATACTCACCGAGATCAAGTAGTCCCACTGCCTCTACGCAGTCCAAAACAGCGATTGTGTTGATAAGAACAGGAACAGACAACATTTCTTTTCCTTTCCCTTTCAAGCCGTGTTTTCCCTTCGAAGTTGCTTGCTCATTTACTAGATCCCAAATTAAGACAACTGCATCTCTTCCTCCGCTAATAAGCCATTTGCCATCTTCGGTCACGTCAAGACCTCGCGGGACGGATAAATGGCCCTCCAGAATCGCGAAGGGACGTATACTGCTTGGAGATTTATTAACCGTCGCGGTCAAGTCAAACATACGAATCCGGGTGTCTACGGAAGCAGTTATAAGCTGCATGGTTCTGACACTAGTGACCAGCGATGGGTTTCGAGGGATATTGAAAACCAGGGCGCTTACTACACCACCGTGTCCTTTGAAAATGTGTGTAACATGACCACGAAGTATATCCCACACCTTCACAACACCATCCGCGGAACCTGAAGCGAAATAAATCGAGGTAGGATCAGCCCTGCACACATGAACAGGAGCATCATGAGGACGAGCTATGACTCGTATGGGATGTACAGTTCCAATAGTAGAGACAGAAAATGGTATTTCAAAGATGCGAAGTGATGGTGTGGATGTGAATACCATAACATGTGTAGATGATGGTGTTACACATAGCGAGGTGATCGATTGTGTGTCCTGGATAGGAATCAGTACACCGAGCAACAAAACCCTTACTAGAACAAGCTTACTCCTGAGAAACGACAAACTTCGCTTCCGGAAAATATATCTGTCAAAATAACCTCTTCTGCGACACATGTAAGTAGCTTAAATCCATCTGAGGTGATTGCGACAGGACCAGAAGTGTGCAAAGGAGAAATAACGCGACCTTTTTTATACCTGTAGCGAGTGAGTAATGTTTTTACAAGCGCAATGATACACATACGCAGTTTTCAGCTTTTGGCGGGGACTAGATGCCATGCTTTTATGACTGCACCACCTTGCAAGTGGCAGGCTAAAATTTCAAGATCAGACACGTTGTTTACGCATGTGTACCAAAAGCCTTCTTTGCCGATTCGTTAATATCACCTGTCACTGAGACGTATAATCTATCTATAACAAAGGGGATGGTGGTCCCGAAAGTCGCGTGCGGAGCACGTGGGAGCACGTTTTTTCGCTTAGCTTCGCTTAGCTTCGCTCGCGTGGTTTTTTGTGGCACCACGGGTGTGGAAGGTGCCGCAGGCACCTGACAGTTGCAGCAAAGCTGCGACGAGTGCAACTCGTCTATAACGAAGGGGACGGTGGTCCCAAAAGTCGCGTGCGGCACACGTGGGAGCACATTTTTTCGCTTAGTTTCGCTCGCGTGGTTTTCGGTTAGCAGGAGAGGGAAGGTAGTGCAGTAGTAACGAGTGCAGTGAAAATTGCAGCCACATTGAAAATTCTCACGGTTATAAGAACATTCAACAATTGTAGTGAAAATTGTAGCCACATTAAAGATTCTCGCGCTTAATCATTTTTACTACAAAACGCGATATAGTGGACACCAAAACTCACGCCTGTGGCACGACGTGACACAACTCAACCAAACAAACCTCTTTTCCTACTATGTGGGGAAGTGGTCTGGCCCTACACACAAAACAAATTGTTGTCGAGAATTTGCACATTTTGCATTACAAAAATTAACAGCCATTGTAACAAACAAGAGTTAGTTACTCTGGTGCACACAGGAACACACTATAAAGGTAGTGAATGGGGAGTGGTTACCCCTTAGGCTGCAGAGAGTTTGTTGGTTAACAACAGGAGGACTTGCTAAGGAGTCTCCTGGATCTATTGGGGTATATATACTAATACAGAGTATTTGTACTTATGTACTGTACAGTTGATAAAGTTAGTGGCTGATGATGTCATGGGGCCTAGCCCGCATGACCAGCTCCACTGTGTGAGAGAGTTGTATCTAAAATAAGAATAAGGCAATGTGGCGCGAGAAAGAGGAGTTTTGAACAAAAGGGGAAGTGCCGCGTGGCACTATGTGTGAAAGCTAAAGGGTACAAGGTTAAAGCGGAGAATGAAAAAGAAGGAAAGGTCCGAAAATTGTGTTATCGTAATACTACCCCCCTTCTAAGGCTTGACTTCCAGGTGAGACCAAATACCGGATGTGGTTGTTAAATTTTTGGTATAGGTTGAAAAAGGGAATTAAAAAGTTTCGAGTCCATGCCTCTAAGCTTCCTAGGAGCTGAGGGGTTCTTAGAATAAAATTTGCAAACATTGTGTCGCGGGAATTGTTCAGATGGGCTTCTGGTTCCCACGTTCTGTCCTCATCTCCATAGCCATTCCATAGGACTAGGAACTCTAATTTGCCACGCTTCAAGTGTGCATCCACCACCCGTTCGACTTCAAACTCTTCTTCACCTTCCTGGGTGACTACAACCGGGCTAATATTGACCGTGGGTACTACCCTCATTTGTTTTGGGAGTTCCAGCTCTACTGCGTTGGGTTTAACTTCCTTAATCCAGTAAGGGCCAATCCACTTTCCGGTCAGTTTTCTAGACTGCCGATCTTTTAACTTTAAATGGTCGGTATCTAACCAAACCAGGTCGCCGACCTTGTAGTCAGGGGCCTTAGAGTGTCTACGCTCTGCCCTGTCTTTCATCTGCTCTGCAGTTTTGAATAGCGCCTTGCGCGTTTCGTCTAACACAGATTTCATGTCTTTTGCCATGTTCCCAGCAGCCTTGTTCTTGCTTTTACCAGGTTCTACACCTATTCTGGGGAGGTACAATCTAGTAACCTCGAATGGTGCCTTTCCTGTAGCCGACAACTGTTTAATATTGTATGAGAACTGGGCTATCTTTAGCCACTTGGCCCAATCCATCTGTCTGTCATTAATAAATATGCGGAGGTATTGCTTCAACTCCTGGTTGAGTCTCTCCGTTTGTCCATCAGTCTGCGGATGGAACACTGTTGATAATTTAGGTTTGATGCACAGCACCCGGCATAATTCTTTCGTAAATTCACTAGTGAATTGTGGTCCTCTATCAGAGATAACCGTCTCTGGTAACCCATGGATAGACCATACAAAATCTGTAAATAAATCTGCCGTACCAGCGGCAGTAATAGTTTTGTTGGTGGGTATGAATACCACTTCTTTGGAGAAGCGATCTACTACCACCATTACTGAATTATACCCATTTGACTCGGGCAGATCCGTTGTGAAATCAACCAATATATCTTGCCAGGGACCAGCTGGTATCAAATTCGGCATAAGTTTACCGGCCGGCGGTTGGTGAGAATTCTTAGCCATGGCACATCTCAGACAGGATTTTATGTATTCCTGTACGTCTTTGACCATGCCAGGCCACATGTAGTTTCTGGAGATCAACTCCATTGTTCTTGCCACCCAGGGTGCCCAGCCACTGGAGTGTCATGATGTCTATCTATTGCCTTGATCCTTGCGGACTCAGGCACATAGATTTTGTCTTTAAAATGGAAGAGCCCGTCTTCCCATAAATAGTTTTTATTGCCATCAAGGTGCGCCTTCTCTTCTGAGGAGATGTCTTTCTTGAAGACTTCCAGAAGATCGGAATCCTGCCCCACTCTAACATTGGCAACCCTTGATTAGTCTATCAGGGTAACACCTTTGTTGTCATCTTCAATGCCGTTGGCATGATCCTCTCTTCTGGACAAAGTGTCCGCTTTCCCCATAGAGCTTCCAGGCTTATGAATTAATTTATAATTAAACCTTGACAAGTATACCGCGTAGCGGGCCTGTCTTCAGTTCAAGTCTCGGGCCGTCATAAAATACTCCAGATTCTTATGATTGGTCCAAATTTCAAATTGGTGCCTAGCACCTTCTAAGTAGTGCCGCCAGTGCTCTATCTAGAGCTCTAATGATGGCCAGCATCTCCTTATCATATATTTGATAGTTGCGCTCTGTAGGCAACAAACTATGCAATAAATAGGCACAAGGCCTCCAAAGATCATCAGGGCATTTAATTGATAGAACAGCCCCAGTAGCAAAATCAGAAGAGTTAGTTTCCAACCGGAACTCTTTGTCTAATTCTGGAAATGCTAATATGGGCGCTGTTATAAACGCCTGCTTAAGCTTATCATAAGCTTCTTGTTCTTTGGCGCACCAGTGCCAAACAATGTCCTTTTTAGTGAGATTGTTCAACGGGATTTATCTGCAGCTCGGCGAGTTGACTTGTCAATGCCTGAATCTGCGCACGCATGTTGTGCAGCAGAGCATTGATATCTGGTTGCAACGACATGTTGACTTGTTCTCTTTGGTAATGTAAAAAAAAGGTAACTGGGGGTCTCCACTTGCTATCTGCGGATCAACCTCTTCCCAGCTGAGTATCAGATCTCAATCTCCGACTACCCACACTATAGTATTTGAAAGGTATATAAAAAGTATAGTATTAAACCCTGGTCCGAACGGTTGTCAGGGGGTGGTCCGCTTATTAAGCTGTCAACCCTTCTCCAACTGGTGGAGGCAAGTGCCCGGCCTGGTCAGAGGAAAATGAAGAAGAAGTTTTTGTATGTAAATTCTAATCAACAGCGATTCCACACTGACTGCTGAGCTAAGTACTCCCCTTAACGCTGGGGGCTGCATATTGAAGGTTTTGTTTCTTCTCCCAAAGCACTACAAGGCCGTCGCAAAGAGCGCACCTATCTGCTATGCGGGATATTCCCAAACAATAACCAAATCTCCTTCACCCTGGAGTCCGGGTGCCCAGTGGGACTTTTGCACAACGTGCAAGAGAGTAGAAGAGGGAGTCCTAATGTAACAACCAAGAGTTAGTTACTCTGGCGCACACAGGAACACACTATAAAGGTAGTGAATGGGGAGTGATTACCCCTTAGGCTGCAGAGAGTTTGTTGGTTAACAACAGGAGGACTTGCTGAGGAGTCTCCTGGATCTATTGGGGTATATAGACTAATACAGAGTATTTGTACTTATGTACTGTACAGTTGATAAAGTTAGTGGCTGATGATGTCATGGGGCCTAGCCCGCATGACCAGCTCCACTGTGTGAGAGAGTTGTATCTAAAATAAGAATAAGGCAATGATTCTTTCATAATATTTCGAGTACTCGGCGCGTCATTGCCCAATATTCCTTGATGGTTGTTGTAAAAATCATGATGTTGTCAAGGTATATTACAACCTTTCCTTCATCGATCAGATCTTTAAACAATGCATTCATCATTGTTTGGAAGGTCGCTGGTGAATTTGTGAGACTGAAGAACATTACTAATGGTTCATACAGCCCTCTATTTGTTCTGAAGGCTGCTTTCTCTTCGTCTCCTTCTACAATTCAAATATTGTTGTATCCCCATTGTATATCTAACTTTGAAGTATTTGGCTCCACGTAGTTTATCCACTAGTTCATTTATCAGTGGTAGTGGGTATCAATTTTTGATGGTGATGTTGTTTAGTTTTTGATAGTCTTGTACGGGTCTGGTTTTCTGTCCTTTTTCTTTACAAAGAAGAATGGTGAAGCAAACAGAGATTTAGATGGGCGTATCCTGCCTGATTCTAAATTTTCTCTGATAAACTCATCCAGTTGTTCCTGCTCTCCTAACGCTAAAGGATACACCTTGCAATCTAATTTGTGTTCTCCTGGTATTAGTTCTATAGCAAGATCCCATTCACGTCTTTCTGGCAGTGCATCAAAATTCTCTTTATCAAATACATCTTTGTAATCATATATTTTGGGACTATCTTATTGAAGCCTCCTTCCTTTCGATCTTTCCCAGCGGCCTCGGCAAGTCGTTGTGCAGTTGTGCCTGTAGCTCTTATCTGGTAAAGATGTTCTGGAATTCCGGTTTCTTCATAATTAAGGAGATCTATCTGGATCAGCTGATCCCCTTCTGGGAAGTCTACTTCTTTGGAGTATGTTTCCGGGTCTTCCTCTGGATCAGAGAGTTGGACCTTTCGTTTGCATTCCTCCGGACATCTTTCAAACTTTATGTCCAATTTCTTCTAGTCAATGCTTGAATTA